TGTCTCCTGACCACTTTCTGTGTCACTCACACTGTGGTAGGGTAGCCATACATGCCAAAATCTACACTTTTAACATGGGTTGCCATACATTCAAGACACTGTTTCCAACTTTCGGATCCTGGCAATATCTGGGAAAATTTGGCTGTATGGCAACCCTACACATGTCCTCAGAGAGTTCTCTGTTTCTGACCTGCTGCAAGATTCTTGGGCTTTTCACACAGAGATGTTGATATGAGTCCTCTTGCTTGCATCTTTTCAGCCAGTTCTTCCCACATTTACCAGAATTAAGTCCTACTGAGTTCCAAGGAAGTTTGTGTAGGATTGCAGCTCTACCCATTGCTGCTGTATTCCATATTTTTGGCAAGCCAATTACATGCATCGGGCATTGATCTCCTTCCCCCACACCCCAGCAGTTCACAATACTTCATTTAGCAGAGATATAAGAAGGGAACAATATTCAGTTCAGTATTTCTCACACTTTTCATCAAGATAATCCGATTATTCATATTATTTTAGAATAATGGTGTCACCGAGAGTGCTATAGCCTGGCATGCCCCTTCATTTCTTCTTATAACCTTTTCTCTAGCAGCTGCAGATTTGCAGCTTGTGGGCGCAGCATGAATGATTCACGCTGGACAAAAGCATTGGGTGAAATTAGGTCACAATTTCATTGATTATACAGCAGATGTGGTTGGCAGAGCAGTAGAGTGAGGATCAGATCATCATTCCAGTCTTCCTTTGCTCAATGGCTGTGAGGCACTCTTGGCGGTTTCTCGGCACTGGACCGCACCTACCTCTGTAAGCAAACAGAGGCCAGAACATAGGTTGCCAAGCCAGGCATCACTGGCCATTTTAAACCAGTGCATACTATCTGGGCAAAAGAGGTCCACACAGTCATACCTGATCCAGGGGGCAATGGATCACCAGGCTACCCTGGGAAACCACAAAGCATGCCATGGCTTTGCTAAGTTGGATCCTCCTAACAGAGGGTCCATGTTGTGCTCGGCCCTGAAACTCTTCCCTAACCGGCTTGTGGGCGGGCCTTGCCCCACTCCAAGCTGGTGGTGCCACAGTTATGCCAATGGCCTTTAGCCAATCACAAGCAAGGCACGGTTGGTATTTATTTGGCAGCACGACATAGGGACCTCCTTTTGCTTTGCACTGCCGAACACCCGCCCACCCACCCGTTAATTAGGTTGTGTTTGGCCTTGCTTTGGACTTTGGTTGGTCGCCTGTTTTTGGAATGGGGGCCAGGTAGGAATTTTTTCCAATGTGGCAGATTGGCTGTGGCCACTTGGTTTTTGCCTACCTCTTAGCAATCGTCACAACTTTGTAAGGTTTGGCGGTTAGGTACTGGTTTAGGGGAATGTGGGGAGAGGAGGTGCGGCCATCATCTGCCCCTCCAATGAATAGGGTATTCCGTTAAAGGAATCCGGGGGTCTGGATCTCTTCCGAAGCCTGGAGAGGGGCTAGGGCCATGCCAGGACCCCTGGGAACCCCAGGGGTGAGCACCAGTCTATATACATTGATGGAGCTCCCCCTGCTGGTTGTTTACCCTTCCATACTTCCTGCAGGGTGGGGCAGGTGCCAGATATAGTTTGATACCAATGCCTAAACCAATACCAGTCACATTTGTGTATTTTAATAAAGTTGTGGCCAAAATTTGCCCATTAACATTTAAACTAAATTCTGTCTCCACTGTGTCTTCATTTCCACGGGGGATGGGTTTGGGGGTTCGAAGCACAATTCTCCACCAAGCTGCATCAACTTTGCAGGTGTCTGGATAGAACTGTTGAGAGGAGAATTCTCTTCAGCTAAGCTTGCGGGGCAAAATGGTCCCGATTCAGCATACAACCGAGACTGTTACCCACTTGACCGCCTGACTCATGAGATCCTGTGAGATATTATGAGGGAGGAAATGAGAAGCAGGAAGGGCAAAATATCTACCCACTCCACAGCCCCAGAGCTGCTGTGCTGCTCTGCTTGTGGAACAGCCGCTGTTCAGTATCTTCACATTGATTCAAAGAAACCTTTGCTAAGCATTTCCTTTCTGAAGGAATGTGAAAGTGAATGTGTTCATTTATTAGCTATGCACGCATGCAGTTCCTTTTCAGTCTTGCCTTTTCTCCATTCTGGGTGACATCTGTCCTTCAGGAGAACGAGCCACTGAAACCAGATGCTGAAAAGGCCTCCTGGTGCACGACTAATGCATCTCTTGCAGACATGATGAAAGAAGAGTCCCTAGGAGCTATTATCGAGCAAAGTTATGCCAGTTTTCTGTTGCTTCCATGCACACACTTCCTATTGGCTGCTTTCATGTAGAAGAGGAAGGATGGAACCTCTCCCCTGTTCTGCCTCAAGTGTTTTTATATCATTTTCTTCCCTTTGTAGATGTCCCAGCGGAAAGAGGAAGACTGAGAGGAGGCTGACAGAACCACACAGAGCAATAGGTGACAGGGTTAGAGATGAAAAGAGTACCACTGCAGTAAAGAAGTTTAAGGGATGGGGAAAAAAGGAAAGCAACATACATTGGCCAAGTGATCCTCCACTAACATTTTGCAGTCTGCAGCTACAATAAACTAGCAGTCCAGGAAATGGTGGCATGCTGCTACTATATTATTAATATCAATTAATTTATTTCATTTATGAATTACTTCCCACAAGGCACCCCAAAGCGATTTGCAATATAATATGATAACATACAGAGGGACACGGGTGGCAGTGTGGTCTAAACCACGGAGCCTAGGGCTTGCTGATCAGAAGGTCATGGTTTGAATCCCCACAACGGGGTGAGCTCCCGTTGCTCGGTCCCAGCTCCTGCCAACCTAGCAGTTCGAAAGCACGTCAAACTGCAAGTAGATAAATAGGTACCAGTCCGGCGGGAAGGTAAACACCACCAGTGTGGTGTAGTGGTTAAGAAGGGTACTCTCATAATCTGGGGAACCGGGTTTGCATCTCTGCTCCTCCACATGCAGCTGCTGGGTGACCTTGGGCTAGTCACACTTCTCTGAAGTCTCTCAGCCCCAATCACCTCACAGAGTGTTTGTTGTGGGGGAGGAAGGGAAAGGAGAATGTTAGCCGCTTTGGGACTCCTTTGGGTAGTGATAAAGTGGGATATCAAATCCAAACTCCTCCTCCTCCTCCTCCTCCTCCTCCTCCTCTTCTTCTTCTTCTTCTTCTTCTTCTTCTTCTTCTTCTTCTTCTTCGCACTGCTCTGGTTCGCCAGAAGTGGCTTAGTCATACTGGCCACATTACCTGGAAACTGTCTACGGACAAAGGCCGGCTCCCTTTGCTAGTAAAGTGAGATGAGCGCGCAACCCCAGAGTCGTCCGTGACTGGACCTAACGGTCAGGGGGTACCTTTACCTTTTTATGATAACATACATAAAGCAGCTGCCCTGTCTCACACCCAGGGAAGGCCAGTTTTTTGCCAACTTCAGGTTGTCAAATTCAGGGTACCTGGCAACTTTCATTGGGTTCACCTGGGCAGGAACACCACCCAGACTCCTTCTCCATAGAAGGTAGTAGCACCCTAAAGACTCCCAAAGGGAAATTTATTTGGTGGCAACTTCACCAATGGCAACCCTGTCATCAATATATGCCAGGGGTTTCTGTCTTCTGACGCAGTCAGTCAGTGATGCAAAAAGCTTCAAAACATGATGTCTTTTTGAAAATCATTGTCCCTCTGCTCTCTTTGTTGGGGGAAAAGGTGTTTCTTCCAGCACTTAGGGAAAGGCCTTGGTTGTCTCAGGAGCAGCATCCAAGAAGAGCACAAAAAGTACACAGATGGTCAGGTACTCACTGCCAGGGCAGATCTTCTCTAGCCCTGTGCTGTAGTGGCACTATATAGCTATCCCATATTGGGGTGAGCATCATAAACTATCTAGGGAAGAGTTGAGAAACGCTATTACTCCATCACTGTTCTATTTGTGAAATTTCACTGGCCCTTAGCTGGGATTCTCAGGTTCCCAAAGTCGACATCAATTAACAGATTCAAACTCACAGAACTGTAGAAAATAAAAGTAAAATATCTAGGCATGAAGGAGGGGGACAGAACCCACAGATGTGTAATAGCACACATTTTCTTCCTCTTTATTGGTTCTCAGTCATCGGCTTGCTGCAGATATCTAAAGCTGCACATTATACGATGGTATGTAATACTGTCTGTCTCCAGAAAGGCAGTTTTAGGAATGTGAAGATAGATTTATATGAGGTTGGAACAGTATCTTGTTCTTTCTTTATTATAGTGGTTTCCTAGTCAAGATGTCCAGATGGTGCATTTATCCATTGCAGCCTCTTTGTTGTTTTCTTTTCTTATTTCCATCCTTTTAAAACTAAGAGATGAAGGTAGAATTGGTAAGCAAAAGAAGCATAATGGAAGGAAGATATCTTATACAACCAGTTTTCACAAGAACAACAAAAGTATCTTCTCCAGAACTGGGGTGGGGAACATCAGATATACACAGTCTGGTGGACTGCAAGCCTGCAGGCTGAATTTGTCTTCACTTTTAGCTATACATGGACTCAGCTGCATAGCTGCAATTATAACGTTATACATATGTTATAAAAATGTGACACCAAATGGTGTTGTAGAGCTCTATGGCAAATTGCATGTATATTTTAATAACTTTTTTCCATAGCATTTTCATTGTGTTGTTTTTATATATATCTGTGTAGATGCAGCCTATATTTCACCTTGCAAATGATGGGCACCCATTCAGCTACTTTACAAAATCACTCAGCAGTGAAACAGCTGCTCCTTCTACACCAGGGGTCAGCAAACTTTTTCATCAGGGGACCAGTCCACTATCCCTCAGACCTTGTGGGGGGCTGGATTTTATTTTGAAAAAAATAAATATCCTGCAAGCTGGTCCTGCAGCTGCCTCCGGACCTAGAAGAGGAATGCACTCTGCACGCGCTCAGGAGCACGTCTTGGCGCTGCCCGCTCACTGGCATTGTTGATGAGCAGCAGCTGCTTTTTATTTATTTATTTATTTATTTACGGCTATTAGCCCATAAAGTATGTACAAACATAAAAGCACAGAGGCATAAAGACTAATATATTCGGCACCAGAAGGTGAACACCATGATGCAGGGGTGGGTCATTGAGCAGAGCCAGATAACAGCTTGGGGCCCGGAGAGCTCCAAGGGACGGATCCCAGAAAAGGAGAACTGAAGACGGGATCCGACATGCACTCTCTTCAAAACTGTCCGATTAGTTTTTGATGTTGTTGTTTTTGGTGGTTTTTGTGTGTGAGATAACTGCATTCAGGAATCTCGCCACCTGCAGAGTTACAGAAGGATCTGTATCCTGCAAAAGTAGTGCGGCATGTGACTCAGCAGGCCTGCCAACCAAGCGCAGTAAAGCAGGGCCCAGGAATTTAGTCCTGGCTATGCTATGTAGGGGACAGTTGAACATTATATGTGAGAGAGAATCAACAGTTTTCCCGTCACACACGCATAGCGGAGACACCAAACCCTTGGAAAATCTGTGGCTCAGCAGGTTCGATGGAAAGACATTGAACCTTGCACGAATAAATGCATGTCGGTGTGGTACAGATGAAAGAGATGACATGTATGATGGAAGGCCAAGTGGTGAGGTTATTCCGTGATACCTGGGGGAGCAGACACCCTCACCCCCGGCGAGGTTGTGTTGATTTTCAATGTCTGCTAATCTCTGCTCAATAAGTCTTTTGGCTGAGCGTAAGTTCATCTTTAAGGAGTCCGCTGGGGAAATTCCGATGCTCAGAAGTTTGGCATGGATTTTTCCTACCCATGGATTGACAAAGTCGTCCCGCCAGAGGCACTGAAAAAGGTAATGGTTGGGAAGCCTGTGCCAGCTGGACAGCCAATAACCAAAGACTCGCTTCCAGATGACCGTCTCCAATGATGCAATCCTTAACTCCAGACGTATGGCTGCGTTGCTCACACACATGGGGAGTTTCAGGAGGCGACGGAGAAACTGATTCTGCAATGTCCCCAACGATGTTAAATTGGACCCTGGGGCCCAGAGCGGGGCAGCATAACAGAGGGTGGAAACCACTTTTGCATGGTACACCTTCAATGCAGAAGGGATGTGGGAGGCTCCGTCGGCCGCAAAAATTGGAGTAGAGTATAAAGTATTGTTTTCCCTTTGTTTAGTAAATACTGTATCTGTGGCTTCCAGCTTAGGTTGTAGTGAAAAAGACTCCCAGGTATTTAAATTTGAAAACTTGTTCTAATTGGACTCCATCTAACTTCCAGCTGTAAGTTTTCCGAGACCTGGTAAAGACCAGGACTTTAGATTTCCCATGATTAATTGTCAGATGGTTGAGTTTGCAATAAGCCGCAAAAATCTTTAGAGCTCTGCATAAACCGACTCTAGAGTAGGAAAGGATCGCTGCATCGTCGGCATATAAGAGCAGAGGGCAGCGAAAATCAGCTAGGCGGGGGGCATGAATGTTGGCTTGAGACTCATTCAGAAAGAGCTTCATATCGCTAATAAACAAGTTGAAGAGGAGTGGGGCCAAAATGCAACCTTGGCGCACACCTCTATTTATTGGGACCTCGTTGGATAGGTTTCCCGCCGGTGTGAGTCTCACTCTAGCCGACGACCCATGGTGTAATTGGGTTATAAGCCATAACAGCCTTCTATCTATGCCCCATCTCTCTAATTTCTTCCATAGACAGTTTCTTGGGATACTGTCGAAGGCGGCCTTTAGGTCTATGAAAGCGACACATAGGCGCCCCCGACTCGGGGCAGAATATTTTCTGGCAAGATGATACATGATTACCATATGGTCAGTGGTCGAATAATTGTTCCTAAAGCCCGCTTGCTCGTGGCCAATCAAATTTGAGTCGTTTGCCCAATTGGACAGCTTGGACAGCAAAAATTTTGCATAGATTTTCCCGATGATAGACAAAAGGCTGATGTTCCGATAGTTCTCCGGGTCAGCAGGGGGACCCTTGTTATGGACTGGCACGATCACGGCCTCCTTCCATGACCTAGGGATAAGCCCCGTAGAATTAATTGCATCAAAGACTTTGGCCAGGATTTCAGCCCACCACCTCGGTTGCGCAACAATAGCCTCAGCAGGGACTAGATCCAGCCCGGGGGCTTTGCCCGTTTTCAGATCTAATATCAAGTCCATTATCAGGTCTGGGTCGGTAGAGGGCCACAAAGGTAGATGGTCGGCTCGGAATTCAGTGGATGAGTTGGATTCCTCTGCCAAGGAGAAATATTTGCTCAAGAATTGTTCCCATGTGGGCGCAGGGATAATCGTCAGTGGGTACTTCCTTCCTCTTTTGTTTATCAAAGCCCAAAATTCCTGTGGTCTGCGGGATCTAGAGGCCGCAATCAAGGCTCGCCAACGCTTTAGATACCACTCACGTTTGGCCAGCTTTAAAGTCTGTTTGTATGCTCTTTTGGCTTGTAAATAGGAGGATGGTAGAGCCTGGGCATTAGAGTTTTTGTATTCATTATAGATGGAACGAAGAAGGGATCTTGCTTGTTTGCAAGAGGTATTAAACCAAGGGGCCCCAGCACTGCAATGCGCTACTTTCGCCTTTTGAGGAGGTAATGTAAAAAAGTGGTAAGGTTTGTTGTAAGAAGGTTAAAAATTTCAAAACCGAATTGGAATCTTGTAAATCAGTAGCTATTTGAGGTAGATAGGCAGTGATTTCCCTATGGAAAAATCCTGGTATTTTTGGGCCACAGCCTCCGACCATTTGATCCCACTTATTTTGGTCGCTGATGAGGTTTCCAGAGGGACTGAGTGTTTATAGTCCTTCTGGTACCGGAACAATGACAAAGTGGTCACTATTGGGAGGTGATCACTGAAATGTTGGTTTTCAACCTGGAAGGAAAGTACATTGACGGCCAAATTTGCGGAGATCAAGAGGTAATCGATAACACTGTTAGATGCTGGTCCCAGGTGAGTGAACTCCCCGGTATATCGGGGGAAGGTGCCGTTCAAGAATACTAGATTCAGGCGAATGGCCATTTGGTAAAGGGTCACTCCAGCTTTGTTTACTCTGTTGTCCTTTGAAGTTCTAATTCTAGCATGTTCCAAGTCAAAGTTGCCCAAACATGGGGAGTCCACCATTTGGACTTGATTAGTAGGTCCCAATTTGTGGCAATTCGAGCATTAAAGTCTCCCCAATTAAGGAGTACGAGTTAGGGCATTTGGTATGACATGACAATAGGTGATTTTCAAATGATTCCCATCTCCAATCAAGATCAGGTGCTGAGCCTTCGGGGGAGATAACCATTAGTAATTAGTAATGAGGACTTCCCTTCTACGATCAGTCCAGAAAGAGCAAAAGGCGGGGAAGCCCGTACCAGGGTGAATTTGGCGCGAAGTTGGAGTGAGATCCCAATCAAAAGACCCCTTTGGGGCGACCACCTTTCAAGGAAGGGGAGGCCGGAAGTGTTAGAAGATCAAAACCGTCTATGGTAATCTCTTCCTCATCCCATGTTTCTTGGAATAGGATGATGTTAAATGAATTTATGTACTTCCTGAATTCGGGGTCTGATTTTTGGTTCTCCAACCAGCAATGTTCCAGCTAAGTATTGATAATGTCGGGTCCTTGTGCTGTCCCGGTAATTGTCACTTTGAGTTGTTTAATGGGTTCTTGGAGGTAGAGCGAGGACCCATAAGGAAATCAGTAATTTTAGTTTGTGCGGATAAAGTCTTCTTCTGTGTTGATTGAATCCGTGATTTGGTAACATTAACAGGCAGGAAGGGCTTTGCCGGGGAGGAAGAATTAGGCAAAGTTGGTGAGGTCGGATGCTGTTCATTGAGGTGAGTAGTAGCAAGTCTTTGATGGGCTATACTAGTAGATCCATCAGAGTTATCAGTCTTAACCAGGGTAGCACTAGGAGGTGTTCCAGTCATCACTTGTAGTTGCTGCGCAGCTGGAGAAGAATTATCACGCAGATGTATAGAAGGACGTGAACGCGGAGATGGTACATGCATAGTCATTTCCTGGTGATCTTCAGACAGGGTAGATTCTAGCTCAGGCATTGAGGCAAAGGAATCGTCAACTTCCATATTTTGATTGGACATAAGGTCTAAGACGGGAGTATTGAGTTTATCAACTTCCTCCACGGTAGAATGGTGCTGTTGGAGCTGTTGGTCAACAGGTGATTGCTGATTCAGATCAGTAGGGGGTAACAAAGTAGCAGGTTGAGAGATTATCAGGGCATTTGATGGAGACGCCTTGTGGGACGTGGAGTGCCTGCTCTCCTCTCTCATCGGCATAGAGGGGTCCCCTTGCGATAGGAGTCTTTGTTTGAGTAGATCCAATCTATCGAGAATAGCCTGCTGTTCTTCTGAAGGGAGTTTTCCATAGGAGAAGATAAGATTTCTCTCTTCAGGGATATTCCAATCTCCGCTTGCAATTGGATCATTCCTCAGTGTAGCTAGATGGGCACTTGAGGTCGCAGATGGAGCAGGGGGTACCCAGCTAGGTGTTTTCCCCTTATTATAGGAACAGAAGGAGGAAACGAGCGTTCATTGCCGGTTAAGATGTTGGCAAAAAGAGGTTTAACACTCGTGTCCTTAAAGACTCTTGTTGTTACAATCTCCCAGGGTGCCAGCCGATCTTTCTCTCTTGCAAGGAGATGTGGGATCCTTGCAGACTGGAAGGAGAGCATAAATTTCCTTGGCCAGGGCGTGGCAATTAGGGGTACTACAGATATAAGATCTATCTGGAAAAAGGAATATTTAACAAATCACGTAGGTACCCTTTAGCCATCCTCAGGTTATTCCACCTAAGTCTGGGGGCGTCACGGGAAAAAATGGCTAGACATATTTTATTAGGTTGAAAAATCAAGGATTGCCTATTCCTTTGGGGCAGTGGCGGCCTGCATCTTGAGCTCTTAAGGTGAAATTTCTGGTCAGGTTGTCTCTTTAAGGCACTTACAAGCTGCACAGGAGATTGATGCAAATTAGATAGCTCAGTTGAGGAAGGTAGATGAGCCAGAAGGGCCCGTGAAAGTTTATTCAATGTCAAAGAAATCCTCCAATTCCTTGAAAATGAAGCTTAAAGTCCTGATTACCAGTTGTATTTGATCAGGTACTAATTCATGGGCAGTTTGCCCTAATGCGTCCCGTTTCAATGACGGAGGTGTAATTAGGGTATCAGGGAGGAGGGCTTCCCTATGGCTTCCGTCCCCCCGCTGGATCAGCTAGCTTTTCCGGCTCTCCTTGATCATACAGAGGCCCAAAGCGGTTGTATGTTTCGACCGCAGAAACAATTACTTGCTCTGTTTTGCTGTTATTGTTAGTAGATGGTGGGGAGATTCAAGCTTCGACTGCTTTACTCTTGGAGGTGAGCAACCTTTCTCAGCAGATCTTGGTCGCTTGCCATGACCCATTTGTCGCTGTCTCACTAACTACGGAGGTTCAAAGTAGAGATAAACGGAGATAAAAGAGAGAACTTATCTTTTATGGGCGCAACTCCTCTGCTACTCCTCCTCCTCCACTTCTCAACATAGCCCAGTCTTCAAGGCGGCGTTACTAATCAGCGACAGGCTTTCTCAGCAGAGGGTTTGAATATCCTTGTTGATACGTATATTGGCACCAACAGGCCAACCGTAGAAGTAAAACGATTAAAAACTTCTAACAGAAGTAAAATAATTTAAAAGTCTAATAAAACAACTATAAAAACGGCAGTAAAAAGCTATAAAAGGCTATAAAAGGTTTGTAATCCGGAGGGTTCACGAAGGAGA